TCCCTGCTATGGGAGGGGGTGGGGGCTTGGCAGGGCAGGAGGGGAGCCCAGACACCTGGGTTCTCTCCCTGCTCCAGGTCAGGGCTGGGAACCTGGCTACCTGGGTTCTCGCCCAGCTCTGGGAGTTGGGAGGCGAGGGGTAGGGGTTGATGTGTCCCCTCCACTCCCCCATGACCTGGCCATGCCTGGCAGGAGGCCGTGCTGACCACCATGGACATAGTGCACGATGGCTTTGGATTCATGCTGGTCTTCGGGGACCTGGCCTGGGTGCCCTTCACCTACAGCCTGCAGGCCTACTTCCTCGTCGGCCACCCCCAGCATCTCGGTCTGCCCGCCGCTGTCGCCATCTTGCTGCTCAATGGTGACCTCACAGCCCCGTACCCCCTGCACCGCTCAGCCCTAGCCCCGTGCCCCCTACCTTTCCTGGGGTGGGGAGGTCTCTGAGCCAGTGGTAGAGTATTAAAGGGTTAACAGCTGACCAAGCACTCTGGGTAGCAGCCTGACCAACCTTATTGAGGGGTTAACAGCTGAGAGTAAAACACTCTGGGTAACACACTAAATAGCCATATTAAGGGGTTAAAACGGAGAGCAAAGCACTCTGGGTAGCCAGCCTCAGTGTGAAGAGCCAAGAGCTGAACTGGTCCTGGGGTAATCAGGCAGGCAGCCCTAATTGCTGTGGGCGGGCTGGCAGCCTGAAGGAGGTGCGGACAGCCCAGCACTGCCTCTTCCAGATCCATTCACCCTATGATCACTGGCTTCAAGCCTTGTTTAAATGCCTGCCTGCGCTGCCCACGGGCATCCTGCAGGACTCGTACCCCTCCCGAGGGGGCAGGATTCCTGCCCCACTTTCTTCCAAGCAGCACCTCAGGATGGGTGGTGCCCCATCTGTCCTCACTCCAGTGCTCTCCCCCCACCAGGGCTGGGCTACTACATCTTCCGCAGTGCCAACTCCCAGAAGAACACCTTCCGCAGGAACCCCAATGACCCTCGAGTCGCCGGTGAGGTCCTGGGGGGGGGAGAGCAAAAAAGGGCCAGCAGGGTGGGAGTAGTGACTGAGGGGGCCTGTGCTGGATGGCTGCTCTTGGGCCAACGCTCTTGTCCTCCTCCCAGGTCTCAAGACAATCCCTACAGCCACGGGCCGGCGCCTACTCGCATCAGGCTGGTGGGGCTTCGTACGGCACCCCAACTACCTGGGGGACATCATTATGGCCTTGGCCTGGTCACTGCCCTGCGGTGAGTCTAGGCCCTACTGGGGCAGGAGTAGGAGGGGAGACAGGACCCACAGCCTTGACACCCATTGGGGCCACATATGTGATTCTCAACCCTGTGACCCCACTGCCCTAGAAGCTGGGGGACTCTGGGGGTCCCCATGTCCATCCCAGCCCTGGTGGTGGAGGCCGCATCCCATGCAGCTCCCAGCCCCATGACAGGCCCTAGCCACTCCTGGTATTAATGGGGGTATATGTTTAGAGATGGGAAAGCCGGGAGCCCAGGACAAGAGGCGGGTAGCTAAGATAGATCTGGGAGTCAGGATGCGTGGTGGTGGGGAGGGGATGATATGAGAGCTAGGAGCCAGGACACCTGGGCTTTCCCTTGGGATGGGGAAGGCATTCAAGATGGGAATGCTGGGAGCCAGGATGCCTGGGTTAAAAATCAGACCACCTGGATCCTCCTCCTTTCTGGGTATGGGCAAAGTGAGACCAGGCCAGACACCAGGATGAGGGCCCCCCTCTGACGCCCCCAAATCTCTGCCACCCCCCAGGCCTGACGCATATGCTGCCCTACTTCTACGTCATCTACTTCACAATGCTGCTGATCCACCGCGAGGCACGGGATGAGCGCCAGTGCCTGCGCAAGTATGGGCTGGCCTGGGAGGAGTACTGCCGGCAGGTGCCCTACCGCATCTTCCCCTACCTCTACTGAGCCCTACACCCCCCCTCTGCCCTGGCTTGTGGCTCCTGCTGCCCCACCAGACCAGCCTCAGGATGCAGGGCTGTGCCAACGGCGCCCTGGACAGAAGCTGGCTCCGAGCCTAGCTACCCTGGTCCCCCGTACTTGAGATGGCTCCAAAAACCCAGTGCAGGGGGTGGGAGATGGATTACCCTGGCCAGAGCTGGCCAGGAAAGGCCCCCTAGGCCACTGGAGCCATCACCCTTGCCCAGCTGCACTGAACCCCTGCACCAGGGTGACCCATGATGCTGCGGGGAGGCCTGACAGCACGCAGGTTGCCTTATCGGACTGAAACTGCCTGAGACCATGACATCCCATCCACCTGCATCTTATTTGCATCTCATTGGAAAGGAGTGCATTGCCTTGATGACTTTGTAACACTGACAGCCTGCCCCCCCCCCCCCCCCACCTGTGGGTCCTGCTGGCTGGGTGGGGGGGCAGGCCCATGATAGGCAGTAGGGGGCTGGGAGGGCATGCGGGGCTGGGCCGGAAGGCTGGGAAGTTTGGTGTTAATAAATGGTACGTGGAACCAAAGGCCTTGGAATGTATTTCCTCAACCAGCACATGGGAATCCTGCTCCCCAGTACCCCATCAGCTCCTCCAGCCCCTCTGTGGGGTGATCATGAAGCATCCAAATCCCTTGGTGACAGACACGGGTCCAGCTCTTCTATGAGACAATTGGGGTGCGAGAACAAGAGGGCAGCACTGGGAGACAGGGAACGGGTCTAGAGCCCTGCATGTGCCCCCACCGGGTGCAGCTGGGGGAGGGAAGTGGGGAATGCCCCTCCACACACACACTGTGGGCTTCCATGTGCCAAAAGGTGCCTGGCACACCCAGTCCTCCCCACCCTCACGAGCCTCCCAGTTTCCTAGTTCAGTGGCCCCAACTATAAAAGTCTCCCAGTTCACAGCTGCTCACATGGCCCCACGACTCAGGCCCCCATAGCCAATGCTTCCCCCTCGCCCATGCTCAGCTCAAGTCCTGCTCAGCCTCCACCAGCACTCCTGGCCCCACAGGCAATCAACCTGTTCTGATAAGAACCGCTATGTACCAGGTCCGTAAGTCCATCTGGCCCAGTCTCCTGTCACGCAGCAGCAGACAGCTGAACTTAACGGGAAGAGGAAACCAAAACAGACGGGATCCAAGCAGGGTTTTTCCCCTCCTGTTCCCCTCTCACTTGCAACCTCCAGCATTGAGGGTGCAGGAAGCTCAGATGCAGAGACCGTGCCCCTCACACCTGTGCTTAACAGCTATGGATGCCCCTTTCCCTCAGGAGCACGTCTAATCCCTTAGTGCCTCTGGTTGAACTCAGCTTCCCCTATGTCTGGCAGCAACAAATCCCATCCTTTAATTCTAAGCTGGGGGGGGAAAGAACTTCCTGGTGTTCGTTTTAAACTGACGACCTGCTCGTTTCATTGCATGAGCCCTTGGTCTTGTCTAGTGAGCTACAGGCCATAATAAATCCCTGTTGGCTTTCTCTTCCCCAATTAGCATTTTGTAAGCCCTTCTCATGCCCCCCCCCCAAACTGAATAGGCTTGTCTGTCCATCCATCCACCCCACGCTCACGCTCTCTCGTGAGTCTCTTCAGTCTCTCCTCACAGGGAAGCCCCTCCAGCCCGCAAATCAGCCTTGCTGCCCTTCTCTAGTTCTGGGCAGGGACCAGAACTGCGTGCAGTCTTCAAGGTGTGGATGTAGCAGGGGTTCATAAAGGGGCATCGGGATACTTTCAGCACCCCAGGCATCCATCTCGAGGGCTCATCCGCAGCCCCCAGCTGAAACCCACCAGCCCAGAGCCCCATGTACCTCAGCACAATCCAGGACGCCTGGGTTCCACCACAAACCTGCCCCTCTGGGGCCACTCGAGACAGTCCACTCCATCTTTCCATGCCTCAGGTTCCTCAGGCACAGATGCAGACTCCCCCTTCCCCTCAACTCTGCAACTGCTCTAAGATTCATGCCTGGAAAGTCAGCTGGGTCAGAGCTCAGACCTTCCTCTGTTACCCCTGCTGCCAACCTGGAATAGACCCAGGCTGCGTTTCACAGCTCTCTCCCAACAAATGTACTGCACCCAAGGCTTCTCCTCTAACCCCATCAGCCCCATGCTGATGATCAGAAGCTACCCGTGGTGCTGGGGTCCCAGTCATGCGAAAACACTGGGATCTGGGGACACCATCGCTCCCCTCCTCTGACCCCTCGTGAAACATGTGAGGTTCTCTTGTGAACACCCCAGTGAGTTCACGAGCCATTTCTGCCCCCCCCAACCTTTGTCTGCCAGAGACCAGTGCTGTGGGGTTCACTCTGCTGCTAACAGGCAAACACAACCCAGCCCCTGTAAGCCTCCCTGGCTCAAGAAGCCAAGAAGGCTGAAAACTCAGCTGTATCCAGCCCCAACCTCAAGAAATGAGAGCTCAAAGCACATCTGAACTGGCTATGATGCTAGAGACTGGAAAGGAAATACCTGACACTCCTCCGCAATCTCTCCTGCCTCTGTCCTGAGCTCTCAGAAGTGGGAGCTGGCTCCTTTCTCTCTCTCTCTCTCTCTCTCTCTCTCAGTGTAAGCTGTCTGTCTACAGTCACTCAGTCTAGCCGTGGCTGCAGAAAACAGAGCTTCCTGCTCTGTAAGGTCCTGAGCTCTGGCTACCCAGTTTTTCTGCTCTAGTTATGCAGTTTATGTGCTCTAGTTTATGTGGCACTGCCCTTTCCTAGCTGATGCCTGCAAAGCTCTGATACAGCACTGGGAGCAGCTGGAGGTTGCTGCAGTCGCTGGAAGTGTCCGATGCCTTTAGCACTGCTGTGGTACGCGTGCGGCTGACAGACCAGGCTTTATTACAAATCCACGCAACCAGCTAAAGTCTGAACTTATTCACATCCCCCCCATTCAGTTCAAAGTACCAGTCCAGGCCTGACCCCAACCGCTTAGTCCAGCTCCTCAATCAGTGGTGTCTTGGGGGGTGGCATTTTCCCACCCCACATCCTCTCCAGCTCCTTGGTGACAGTGTTCACTTCCCTGAGGGCTTTCATGCGAGTCCGGTACTCGGCCTCTGCCTCCAGGGCCAGGAGGGGCAATGCCGATGGGTTGTCATTGACCCAGGAGAGCAGGAACTCGCACTTCTTCTTGGCTCTGTACACATGCGACCGCTCTGCTGTGGGAAGCTGCTTCTTGGCTTGGCCTAGCAGCTGGGCAAGATGGGCCAGGGAGGTCAGGGTGTAATCCTTCTGCTGGGCAGGACTCTCGCCCCTCAGGATCTCAGCCACGGCCAGGATGGCACCAGTATTGCCCAGAGGACACTCAGGCAGCTGGCAGGCGGTCACCGCATGCACAGCGGCTTGCAGGGCCTCACCAATGGAGCTGAAGCCTTGCTGGTGCCCCAAAGCCCCAGACACACTCAGGACGGTGTCCGCAAAGTCAAGCAGCAGCGCAGCATCATCCTCCGGCTCCCCGTGGTAGAGGGTCAGGGCGTAGGCGTAGGCATAGAGCACATTGGGCAGCTGGAAGCCCACCAAGGGGGAGGCCGGGCCCCGGGTCAGGGCGCTCAGTGGCGGGATGGAGGCTGGCACAGGGGGCATGGGGCTGGGCTCCACATCCTCCAGCTCCGGGCTGCTCTGGTCCACATTTGGCTCTGAACCGAAGCCCTGCGATATCTCTGCAGAGAGCCAGGAGGGTCCCCCTGGCCTGGGGCTACGGGGCTCCACATTATCCAGCTCCAACTCGGTGCAGGCAACTTCTGGCTCTGGCCGGGGGTCCCCCGGGGTGTCCGCAAGTAACTGGGGGTGGCTGAGCTCCCCGTTCTCCAGCTCTGGGCAGCTCCAGGCGACTCCTGACTCCGAGCTGGGATCCCCTGATGTCTGCTGGAGGCTGGTGGGAGACCCTCTTGGCTGGGGGGCGTCCCCGCCCCCC